GGTTTATAATTTTAGAAAGCCTCAAAAAGATTTAAAATCTTGCATTATGCCACCCAAAACATCTTATAATATGGCTATATTTTAGGTGAGACCTTGAAAGTCTTCAATCAAGGAAACACTTAAAATAGCATTTTGTAAAAAAGTGGAAGAAGTCACCACACTTGGTGTTCTGTTACCCAAAATGCTGGACACAGTTCAACCACATGGTTCACCTGTAAATCAAGCCAGGTTAGTGGCAAAGATATATTTGGAGATGGAATGAAAAGCTATAAAGAGATGTACACACAGATGTAAGGTATTATTATAACCCTGCAGTTAGGACATTATAGCATTCTTTGCACAAATATTTCCCAACTCTAAATTTCCCCCAATGTAAAAGTGATCGGTTATGAAACGATGACTTGCTTTTCAAAATAACTCAGTCATAAAATATTTCACTATGGTGAAATATTGGTTTATCCTAACAGGGAACTCCAGATACAGAAACACAATTCCGACTTTTTCTGGAACATATTGTGTATGAAGTGAAACAACTGAACGGGACCAAAATAGATGTGTGCAATCAACTCTAAGAACTCTGGTGCTTTATTGGCCTTGTGGCTTTAATTTTTCTTTATATGTTATATACTTAAATGGCATCATAATCCAATAATTTTCAATTTGACATGTTTTTGGAAAGATGTTTCTCTACTGCAAGCTATTTCATTAATATTTAAGCGCCAGGTACAGATCACCAACTCTTAACTACCCATTTTGTAAGACCCATAAAAACTATGATTTACCTAAACTTATACCTTGAGAAACGAGTATAAACCCCAGTAAGATGAAGAGCATAATTCCTTTAAGCATTTTCTTAACCAGAAGGTAAACTGAAGGTACAGAGTTGAAAGCTTAAATGAGAACTCAGACCCTTCCCCCTCCAGGAAACAAATGAAAACAAAACTTACCAAAATAAATTTAAAAAATTAAAATAAATATACAGATATTTAACAAGGAATCAAGTTAAGTACTCAAGCAGAAACTCTTTTAACTACTCAAACACTCACAATGGAAGTTTATTATTAATGAAAAGCGGCGGATTCTCTTCTGGCAAAGAGAAAGCTATTTTTCACTTCCCCTGTTAACTATCTTTAGTACTTCACACTCTTGAAAACCAGGAACGTGAATATGGATTTACTGTGAAGCAACACGCATTTATCTAATGCCAGTTATGGGGGAGGAGAAGCCTATGAAATCAGTGCAAATGAAATCCGAAAGCATGACAGACATCAATATAGGCATTGAGGTCTGGTGACAAAGGTCTTACATTTCCTGAAACTTTCATGG